GTGTTTACTGTTGTCCTTTCCTAATGTCAAAGAATTAGAAGGATTATTAAAACTTTATAGTTATAGTCATTGTCCTTGGTGTGAATGGCCTTTAAACCTGCAGGAAATTTAATATAAGCTGGTCTTTTCAGGATGGAACACCGTTGCTGTCTCATTTTTCTTTTCTGGCCGGACCAATGCTGCTTGGGGAGGATAAACATCCATGATTAGTGATGTGTACAAAAGTAACCTGATTTAATGTTTGAAAGGAAGGATTCCAGCAAGGTGTTTTAAAAAATTTTTTTTTAACTTTTTGCGTAATTTTTTTGCTGAATTGTCCAGCAGCAAAAATGAATTTTGTTGTAGACACATACTCAGGATATCAACAGTCCAAAAGAAGTGGTGGCCTGGCTCTAAGTCAAATCAAGGGGTTTTTGGTGAAAAATACATTTTTAGATAATGGTTGTGAGGAGCAACTTCTCCTCGACTGCTCACCCTTTGGCTTGAATCATAGAACCCACCAATCACACGATTTCACACCTTGTTTCCATGACGATGCTCTGCTGCACTTTGCGGTGGGGTTTCTGTTAAAATGATAAAGCGGAGAGGTCTTGCACACAACATGCAGGCGTATCACATTCTGGAACAAATGCCAGCAGGCAGTGAGGACAGACAGAGACAGACAGGTGTTTTCAGGTCCACTCTGCATCTTATTCTTTCATTATGTGTTACCCTTGAATGATTTTGATTGACATGTTTGAGTGGACCTACTGAATCCACACAAGCAATGGAGGAGAAGTAGTAGAATAGCCATCAGAGCTGTATCTATGTGTGTGTATGCACAGGGCCGTTTTAACATCACATCATGCCCTGCCACCTACAATTGCAGGCCATGCCAGTTTAAGACTATTCTAATGTACACAGCTGTGTTCTACCTAGTGAGCAGCCTAATAGGCAGTATTCTGAGGCCAGTTTGTAAATGTTAGGAGAACTATTTGAAACACTCTACATTGCCAGCAATTACTCATAGCAGTTCACATGGGAGACTCACAATTGAATTAAAATGGTTATTGTTTAGTATTAAGTTAATTCTATTTTAATCAAGATTTCTCTTTGTCCTCTATCTTACAGAATACAGAGTACTGAAACTTTACAGTATTGAATGAAGTATATTTAGAATTTACATTTTGCTCCCATCATATGCTATCTTGGATTTATCACAAAACTTGTGCAAGTTCATTATTGGGTAAAATAATTCATTTTTATTAGGGCCATTCACACAAAGGCAGATAATTATAATGATAACTACAAATAAGGTTTTAATAATCGTTCTAATTCTATGAGAATAACTGTGACATGGAGAAATGATTTTGTTGGAATCACTGAAGGATTGAAGGAAGTGCATATATAATCAGCAATTCTTGCGCTCCGTCTGCCATCTTGGATTTATTACAGAACTATTATTATTGGGTAAAATAATACATTTGAATTACACTGGACTAATTTTGCTGTATTAAATGAAGTATATTTAAAATCAACGTTTATTCTGCTTTGTCCACCAAGCTGGTTCATAGAGGTCGTAGAAATGCATTGCCTTCTTCATAAATGTGATGCTGCCTTTAAATTTGGCTAAAATTGGTTATGTCAGAAGGCAGCACAGTTAAGCACATTCTACCTGTTGTAACAGGCTTCACTTTGGGAGTGTTTGTGATGCCCTAGAATGCTGCCTGCATAGGGATCTGGCAAGTTTTTGGAGCTGCACAGTAGTCTTGCATGAAAATGGTTTTGTGTCTGCTGTCGTACGCTCCACACCAGAGACTCATATGCTGTTGCGGCGGCTCCTGGGAGACTGTCTTTCATTCCTCTGCGTGTCAGACTGCATCACTGACAGATGGTCTTGACCGTCAGAATCTGTTCCTATCAGCCTGGCCGAGGAAGGGGGGGGGGGACTGAAGTACAAACCCTTCAGTCTCTTCGTGCCCTTATGCACATGCAGTGCATTATAATCTTCTCCTGCTAAACCTTCTTATTAGTCTCCTCTGTGCCTGACGTGGTTCACGCTGACCTGTCACCAGTGTTCCTGCTGACCTGCGATGGCATGTTCAACACAGTTATGGAGGAAGCTCTTAGTCTCTCACACAAACAATATTGTTAATTTGAGTTCAGGCGTGCGCTGAATCATTTAACTTAATTGCAGAACTGAAATATAACCAGTGTCAGTCAAAATTTCTTGGCTATTCTGCCCAAGCCTTTGAATAAATAACGATTAGGTGGAGAGCATATGGTATCAGTCCTGCACTAAGGAAGGACGAGCGGAAATTGCAGGCGTCTTGAAACTCCCTCAAATTGCATGACTATAGGATTTGAAACAGGTCCAAGAGTTAAGAAGCAATCACAATAAGAGTCATCCACTTTTAATGCATTGGTCACTTTGTTTGCTTTTCATTCAGCAAGCAGCACTGCTTAATGGGATTCAGATAAAGCCATTATGTGCCCAGTAAAGGGAGATGGATTAATTGATTACAAGGTATTAGGCAGCATCTCTCCTCTATAAGCAACAACCTCCAGACACTCTCTGTGTTATTAAATCAGACCCGCACAGATCCACTCTTAAACTCACATACTTTTTTTTAATGCTTTCCTGTTGCTGCACAACTGTGGAATAGTATTTCTGTGCAGGAAAAATATTACAGAAATTACACTTGAGGCCATAGGAATCATCAACGTTTAGCTGAATCAATATTACAAATTGAATTCAATTGAATTGAGAGGCTGTAGTGAACATCTTTAATGATGGTTCAAATAAACGGATTATTACTGGCCTACATATGATTGTTAGTTTTAAAATGACAGTTTCATAAATTTATCTAAGGCTATTAAAAGAATAGTTCACCCAAAAATGAAAATTTACTTACCCTCAGGCCATCCGAAGATGAGTTTGTTTCTTCATCAGAACAGATTTGGAGAAGTGTATCATTACATCACTTGCTCACCAGTGGATCCTCTGCAGTGAATGGGTGCCGTCAGAATGAGGGTCCAAACAACTGATAAAAGCATAACAGTAATTCACAATTATTCCTTTAATATTATACATTAAAATATTTAAATCAGTTGCATTAGAAGTTAAATTTCTCTCTCTCACTTTTTGGGAAATAATAGTTTTGAAATGTAATTAATTTAAATTAAAATTATACAAAAAAGAAATAAATAAGTATATGACAATGACACAACTTTAAGGCCAGAGGTCAAATAATTGCAACGATTTCAGACAAATTGCACTACCAAACTAAAAATTGTGATGCAAGATCTGAAGTGAATACATAAAGAAGAAGAAAATGAATAGAGTGTGTTTGCAAAAAAGGCGTGTAGCGGTGCTGCAGAAACATTTAACAATTAATGGACTGTAGTGGAGATGGGCAGAGAGAGGAGAGGGAGGGTCGGAGAGGAGGGGGGCGGCAGACCGCAGAGGATGATCGTGTTTGTTTTGGGGATAATGATTCAGGATGGAGGCAGGGCTTGATGGGGCAGGTCAATTTGTGATGGAAAGGACGATGGAAGATTGAATACCTGGAGATGTATCAGAATAAAGAGCAGGCGCACTTTACATGAGAGAGCGATGTGTGCAGGACAGGCTGGACGCAAGTGCGCATGTGTGTTACTGTGGGCGCGCTCACACAGAGACGACTTGCTCTCAAGGGAACGGCTTCACAATAAGCAGCCTTTTTTCCAAGCCAGACTGGAATCAGAGGACCGGTCACACACACCCGCTCAGCATCTTATAGCACCATGCAGTGAAACACACACACACCCAGCTGTGAAATCACAAGCAGACTCGTGTTTGGCGTGATCACGCTAATGAATCTTGCCATAGTGGAATCATTGCGAGACATCTGTTTTTCTTCTATTTCCTGTTTTTTTATGCTATAAATGACGTGCACATCTATTTATGTATGATTGCTTAATTTATGCATGGCCTGTCAGATGCAGCCTTTCTGATGGAGGCGTGGGTGGGGCGATGGCACATCGACGCATGTAGATGTGGGAGGGAAACGGTGTTCGGAGGAGGGAGTACGATGGTAAAGCGAGCATGAGAACGCTCACATTGGGGAGAGAGAAACGGAGAGAAGGAGCAAACACATGAAGACGGAGTGAGGGTGATGCACATCGAAACAAGGAGGGGGAGGGCGAAAAGAAGAGGGAGAGGGAGAGAAAAAAGAGAAGCTCAAAAGACAGGACAATCAAGGACTGGTTCTAGATGCAGGATCCTTCGGCAACAACATCGCGAGGGGCAGGGACGCTGGAAGATGGTTTCAGTAAGAGGGGAACTGACCGTTGCCTATAATTTAATGTTCAGTATCTTGGACTCCTTCTCCATGGGTAATAGCTTAGTACCTGTCTGGGCATAAACCCCTCTCTGCTTCTCTTCCTGTGTCTCGTTCATTCGTTCTCTCTATCTGTCGCTCTCCTCTTTTTCTGTCTTCATCTCTCGCGCAGTGTCTGGTAGGTTTAAAGGGATCTTTCTCCCTGAAATTACATCTCTGGCTTCATGTACTCCGCAAACCTTGCGTAGAACATAAAAGGAAATATTTCGCATAATACGCCGGCTGCTTTTTTCCTTACAGTGGAAGTGAATGGTGACCAAAATTGTTGCTCATTCACTTTCATTATATGGAAACGGGCAGCTAGGACTTTCTGTTGAATATCTCCTTTTGTGTTTTACGTTAGCAAGAATGTTTCAGTTTGGTTGAACTGTCCCTTTAAGTTTATAGTGTCTGCTTAGCATTTAATCAGGATAATAGGGGTCATTCCTATGATGCGGATGGTCCGTGCTGCCCTCTTTATGCTGTAGGAGTAAAGGAACGAGAGAAGAAACGGAAAGAGAGAGGGGGCTGCCGCCGCACCACACGCCCTGATTGGAGTCATCCATCTGTCTTGGGATTGCTTTCAGATTTGTGCCTGTGGGGAAGGTGAAATCTTTGTGCACACACAATTAATATTTCTGTCTCTTTCGCTCTCTGTAGGGGTGGCACCTGCGAAGAAGAGCCCCAAACTGGTGAGTACAGGTGTTTTATTCTTGTTCTCCCCTCACTTTGTCTGCGTTTTTTTGTTGTTACTCTTCTCCATATTGTTTCCAAATCCTTTTGCTCATTATCGGTGTCATTGGTCTAGTGTTCAAAAGAGGTTTTACAATGTTGCTGTTCTGGCAGAGAGAGTCTGATATGCACTTCAGTGCAAACGCTCTGGAGGTGGACGGTGAAACCATGTGGTCAGGGTTGGGAGGGGGGTGTTCACCCCTGGGAGGAGGGCTGATTTTATTGGTCACATGGGCTTCCTGTAATAGCCCTCTAATGATTTACCAAAGACAACAAAACCAGCAGGTTTCCATCCTTGGAGCTTCAGGGACAGAATATAGTGTTTTTATTTTTAATCTTTTGAGTTTCACCAGCCTGTTGATGATAGATGTAGGATTTGAGCACTCAGTGAGTCTGAGGACAGTAGAAATAATAATCAGTGTTCTTCTGTTAAAATGGCAGCCTTGGGTTTCTCTACTTTGTTGAAATGGACTCCTCAATGCCAGACGAGCATCTCTTAATTCTCAAATGGCCTCTGTTTTATTTGGATGGATTTATTAGCTACTTATTGAATTGTGGTTTAATTTTTATTGCTGGATTTCTTTATTCTGCTGTAATTCTAAAATGCACAGATTCATAGGTTGTGCTGGGATGCAAAAGGATGCAGAGGTGTGTGCGTGGGTTTAAAAAGAACTTCAGATGACTTCAGTTGAAGAGGGAACATTAAAAATGTCATAACCTGTCCCCGCTAACTTGTATTAAATATTTACAATTTATTTAAAACATGAATTTAAATAATTAAATTATTTATGTAATAATAATAAAAAAAAACAGGAATGAAAATGCTTCTATTTTGCATTTTTATCATTTTATTTATTTATTTTATTAATTATTAAAGAAAAAAAATTACAAATTAAATGGTCAGCATAACAATTAGGGTGATAACTTCACTTTAAGGAGTTTAAGTTTGAGAAAAACCTGATTTTATGTATTTGTTATATTAAGATTAACCATATATATTTCATGAAACAAGCTTACAAAATGTGATAACTGAAGATTAATTGAGTTGAGTTGCTTAGAGGGTATTGGTTGAGACGGTGAGGTTGAATGATAGTTGAGTCAGAACATTAAAATAGCAGTTGAATGTGCCGATATAATTCATGGCTTGAATGAATCCTGAAGGAGAGGTAAGGAGAGTTGTGTCATTCTGTCCTTCAACTCATTCATTCACTTTTCTTTTTTTGTTTCTTTTTTTCTTGCCTGCTTCACATTTATTCAATTCAGTCCATCTTGAAGACGCCGGGGAAGTTGTGGTGCTTTTTTCTTCTATATTCATGTTTCCTTTTTTCCCCGCCACAGCAACAGTTGGAGCGCAAGGACAGTCAGGGCAGCTCCCAGCACAGCGTGTCCAGTCAGCGCAGCATCCACACTGACTCTCCCCTCCACGCCTCCCAGGCCCTGCTTAACGAGTCGGCCGCTCCACCACCCCCCTCTCAGCCCCTGCCAAGCCTGCCCCAGGACCCTCCGGTAGACGGAACTCTCCAGAAGAAACCAGATCCCTTTAAAATCTGGGCCCAGTCCAGGAGCATGTATGAAAGTAGGCGTAAGTAATATGGGATTCTGGTGGAAGGTGCATTGGCAGCGGATCACTCAGTCTCTCCTTTATATTTGGTTGGTAATGGGATATCAGGTTTGGTTGGTTGGGAACAGGCTGGATTCCTTGTTTGATTATTCTGCTTTGCCATTTAGCTAAATATTAACATTTAGATCAACATCTGTTTGTTGGAGAAAAAATGACCTAACCTTGGTGTAAAAAGATTATTGCATGGTTGGATTGGTTTTACATCAGTTGTCATTTTATGCCAGTGTGGTTTCAACAGTTGACACCAATTTTAAAGCAAGACACTATAGGCAACAACATGGTTTTTTCATGTACTTTGAGATTTTTGGCTATTTGCCATAACTTTTTTTTCAGACTAGTGGAAAGAAAAAATTGAAAATGTATTTTATTCCACTTTATCTGTTTGCATCTGATTTCCATTTAAATACATACTTTCAAAGGCTGTTTTTTTTTTTGCACTGACTTAGAATTCTGAACTTAAGTAGCACTTACACCAAACTTCACAGTTTTGTTCCTATTTTTTAAAAGGTTTTTAAGAAGGGTTTGTTCATGTATTACAAAAAAAAGTTTGCAATTCTTAATGTAATCAATCAACTTGGGAAGTATGGTGAAGTACATTTTTTGCCCTACTCAACTGGGGTGTCTTGCTATAAGAGTGGATCTATACTTAAACAAAATTGACATTTTCAACCAGACTGCATGGCTGTAGTCTTTCAATATTTAAATAGCTGTCCAAAGCTAATGTAAACCATTTGCCATCAGTTAGAATCTGCTATGTCTGTTGTGATCAGAGAGCTGTGTTCAGATGAACCTGTCATCTGTACTTCCAAAGCTATTCATTAGCCTTTCTCATTCCTTCTTTCATTTACTTTGCTTTAACCTACTCACTCACCGCCAGTGAGAATTCAGTGTGAACGGCAAGGCACTTCTGACCAATTACACTCCTCCCTGCCATCAGTAGATTCACACGCTCCAACGCACTCTACAACACATCTTTTGACAAATGTGCATATAATTGGTAGTGGTGGAAGACAGTGAATCCAATACTACTTTCATGTGTGCCAGAGCAGAGGGGCTAATTAACAGGAATATCCTTCAGTGGATGTTAAAAAGCTGTGGAATGGAGCGCTCCAATGTTTGAGTTGGAAAATTTTGCTAACTTGGAGTGTCTTCATTGTTTCATCGTGAAGAATTTAACCGCTCCGCCTCTTAACTATTCCGGTTACTTAACAGTTTCATTAACAGTTCTTTTAAGTACTTTTCCTTTTTTGGATAAAAGATTCAGTTCCATAGTCAAAAGATAATACAAAATGTGTGTTTACAATTTGTGTGTTTACAAACTTGATTAACCGAAAAAGAAAAGACTCTTTAATGTAATTTGTTCAGGAATTGGACTACACTCAACTGTGCGTTATATTTTTGATTCACTAAAAAAGGAAAGACTTTTTTGAAATAATTCATTATTCATTGTTGTAAACCAAGTCTTTAGAGTCATTTGTTCGAAAACCAGACTTCACTGGTTATGCTAAAGTTTAAACAATTCTCGCAAAACATGTGTTTACAAGCTTTTTAATGATTCGAAAAGAACTGACTCTTTAGAATCATTAATTCGGGAATTGGACTACCCTTATTGTACCATATGTTTTTGATTCACTAAAAAAAAAAAACAACTCATTGCAGTAATTCATTTGGGAGTCGGATTACTGGACTGAATGTTTTTGATTCACTAAAAAGACCCGAATGATAAGAGTCATTTGTTTGAGATTTCCACTAGTTCTGGTGTATGTTTCTGATTCACTTAAAAGAACCGGCTTATGGTTGGTCAGTTGCATAATCAGACTACACTGTTGCAGTCCATGAATGGATTGAAAGGTAAATCATTGCCATTTGTTTGACATTTTTTGACCAGCTTGAGAACATTCAGTCCAATAAGGGTGAGCAGTGAGCAGCTGCACTGAGAGGCTTTAGCGCAAATTAATGTAAGTTGAAGGTCTATCTTTGTCATAATGCACAATTTGAAGAGTCTGCCACAACCGTCCTTGATGCTTAATGGAAATCGAACAGTATGGTAATATTGCCCCTGCAGCAGCCATTCTGTATGGCTCTGGAGCCATTCTGCTTCCGGTTTCTGTTACAGTATATTGCTGTACATCTGGTTAGACTGGAGACAGAGGTCCTTGTATGTGCCATCTGCTGCACACGTCCAGCTGCATTACAATAGATCTCCAGTAAAAACCTGCGTCAGAAATTTCTGCCCAGATCCAAGGTTTCCAGCTTTCTCTTACTTAACAGGCATAAATGTCCCCCGACAGAACATCCATGTGATGCATTGGAGAGCTACAGGGTCAATAATGTAAAACCTGACAGATTGCTGATGTCTGCAGGGCTTCAAGTCTAAAAGAGAAGGAAGCTCTGCTGTTGCTCGTCCTGACTGATTTGACATGGAAGTGTTGTGGTGGAGACGGCGCTCAAGCGGTGGTGTAAAGCTCAAGGGCACAGCTGCTTCAAAAGACCCCTGTATTCTGTCTTCCACTTCACTTGATCTGTAATCTAGATTTTTATGCACATGTGTCAGTGCTTATCATTTTCCCAGATGGGAATACCTGTTAATCATTTTGTGCTATGTGAATTCATTCAAGCAGAGGAATCATCATATCTCACCTTCATTGGTGTGAACCAGTTAGTAAAAAAATCTAGATGTGAGATGCAATCATTAAAGCGAAATTGTTCACTTTTCTGCCACCTTGAACCAGCAGCCATTCTCAAAAGAGGGAGGTTTGGGTTCTAAATCAAAGCTTGTGCGTCATTCTGCAGCTCAATTGATCATGGGCTCAAGCTATTTTTTTCTCCTTTTCAGTGCCTGATTACCAGGAGCAGGATATTTTCCTGTGGAGAAAAGATACCGGCTTTGGATTCAGGATCCTTGGAGGCAATGAACCTGGCGAGCCGGTGAGTGCAAAGCATTGAGTGCAGGCTTCATTTATGCAATTCTGCAAGTATTGTGCTCATTAGTTTGTTCATTTTAAAAAAATATATTTATTATAAATAAACAGTTATTAAGTTATTTAATCAGTCTCTTGTGGGTAGGGGTAGTTGTAATTTATACATAAAACTATTTGAACTATTTTAAATACATTTTCAAAATATTTTATAATTATTATACATGCAGCTGTCATATGAAATTGTGACCAGTTACAGGACCTAAAATATATACTTGCATATATTGTCATATTTCATACATTCAAATATAATCAAACCCAGCATATTAATATTAATTAAAAATAAAATAATGTAGTATTATTTATGTTCTAATAAATAAAGAATTTGTTAATGTTTTGAATTAGCTTTTATTTTTTATAAAAATGAAACATAATTATTTTCTTTTACATTTTATATATCTTTTAATATTTCTGTTTAGCTTTACATTTCTATTTTAGCTTCTATTTTTCAATTTCAGTTTTAGTCATTTTAGTCCTTGAACTTATTTTAGTTGTCAAGATAACAATTCTAAGTTTAAGTTTTCAAGTTTATTTTTTTCATCTAATATTTAGATTTTATTTTATGTCAGCTTTATTTCAATTAAAAACATTTTTTTAGTTATGGATAACAACACTGGTTAACACATTACTATGCTTGTCAAGTACATATTTGATATTTGTTTTAATTAGTTATAATGACAGACAAAAATACACTTGCGCTGTTTGACAGTTCTAAAGGCGCCCGACAAATATAGACCCTTTGAAGATTTTCCAAATGTAATAGTTCAAGCTTGGCTGAGTTCTCAGATTCAGTCTTCACAGCTTGTGCATGATACACATTTCTATGTGAAATGTGCCCAGTGCATTACAAACACTCAGCTTTTGGCAAAACTTGTGCCCAGTGAAAGCATCTGCCCTGTGTGTGTGTAGGTTGACAAAAGCTTTGATCTGTGCAGTACAGCCTCGATCAGTCAGAAAATATCTCTCAGACCACCAGTTCTTCTCTTTAATGAGGCCATGTTACATCTTTGAACTGATGAGCTGGTGTCTCGGACTCTAGTCCTTAAAGAATAAAATACAGAGCTGCCTGCAATACTGCTCTTTTCGGCTGGTAAAAGGGTATCAAATATTCCAAGGAGGTTTTCTGTTAGGAGAGCATTTCACAACCATTAGTCTTAAAATTTCAGTGTTTCAGTGAACGAGTTTGAAAAGTGATGAACCTCAAGGGGTGAAGTTCAGTTTGGCCAAGACAAATTTGTTAGTTGGGAGGATTTTTTTTCTTGTTAACTGTGTTTGTCTCTCCTGGCTGTATAGATTTATATTGGCCACATCGTGAAATATGGAGCAGCCGATGAAGATGGGCGTCTGCGATCAGGAGATGAGCTAATTTGTGTGGATGGAACGGCTGTTGTGGGAAAATCCCATCAGCTAGTCGTTCAACTCATGCAACAAGCCGCAAAACAGGGTCACGTCAATCTGACCGTGAGGCGCAAGACTGGATATGGATGTAAGCAGGCTCCAAAATATTATTATTGTTGAGAAAAATTACAGGCCATAAATATGTATTACTAGTCATGAAACTGTATTTTTCATTTTTATTGAAAAATATATTTTGTCCCTATTTCAGCAGAATTATTTTATTGTATTATTTTAGCTGTTTTTCTTGCATTATTCTGGCAAACAGGTCATTGTGTCACCTGCAGAGATAATAATGAGATAAGCCAGTGGCAGTCACAAAAACTTGAAGCCAAATTGGGATTTTGTTGCTCGTATTTCACTTACTGACTAACTATTTATTCATTCATTCATTCATTTTGTTTTATACAATACTGTTTAAAAGTTTGGGTGAATGTTTTTAAAAGAAGTCTCTTTAATGCTTCATTTATTTGATCAAAAATACAGTAAAAACAGTCAAATTGTGAAATATTATTACAGTTTGAAATAACTGTTTTCAGTTTGAAAATGTAATGTATTACTTTGATGTCAAAGCTGATTTTTCAGCAGCCATTACTCCAGTCTTCAGTGTCACATGATCCTTCAGAAATCATTCTGATATGCTGATTTGATGCTCAAGAACCATTTCTTATTATTATCTTTTTGTAGAAACAATGATATATTGTTTTCAGGACTCTTTAATGAATAGAAAGTTCAAAGAAGAGCATTTATTTGAAATAGAAATCTTTGTTAACATGATATAAAATGTCTTTGTTCTCACTTTTGATTAATTCATTGTGTTTTTGCCAAATATTAATTTCTTTAAAAAAAAAAATTACTTATCCCAAACTTTTATACTGCAATGTGCATTTTAAAATATAACAAAAACAAACAACTAAAAAAAGACAATGAAATATATATACATATTTATATGTGACCCTGGACCACAAAACCAGTCATAAGGGTCTTTTTTTTTTTAATTGAGATTTGTACATCATCTGAATAAATAAGCTTTCCATTGATGTATTGTTTGTTAGGATAGGACAATATTTGGCCGAGATACAACTATTTGAAAATCTGGAATCTGAGGGTGCAAAAAAATCTAAATATTGAGAAAATCATCTTTAAAGTTGTCTTATACTTAAGGTACAAAATGAACACCCTCTGAGCACGAAGTACAAATAAAAGCTGTCTTTTGTGCATATTAATTTTGGATCTTGGAATTGTTACGACCAGAAAAGGTCATTAGTACTTGAAGTATAACAAACTCCAGCATGTCTTTGAGCAGTTGCAAAGCTTTTATATCAGTGTCATAATTCATATCAGTAAGGTAGAGTTAATTCCAGAGTAAGTGTTAATTGCAGCTTAAATGTGCACTTATTGCACTCTACAACCCGAGCGTAATGACCAGCATGACTACTCGAATTTTAAATTATGCAGGATTTTGCAGTCTGATTATCCATTCCTATCAGACAGACTTTATTTAAATGAGAGTTCATGGCACATGATAATGAGGGTATGCCTGCTGACTCTGGCTAATTAATCTGTGCGGGGCTTCTGGGTCCCATATGGCAGGTCTCAGAGTATAAATTACCCTTTTTTGCTCGTCCAGGATCACCTACCTGAATACAAGTCCCAATCTAACCATTGTAAGAGAGCTGGGCAAGAGATTCCATACTTCCTGGGAAATAGCGATTACTCCATTTTTAATAATCTGAGACCAGCTGGTTTATGTATTTACATTACCTGTTCAAACAATTCAGAAGCACGTTTGGTTTGTAGATTAATACACATGATTCTTGAGTCTAAGCCTTTGCCTGTCAAGCTTGTTGACGAAGAGCTGGTTTCTCCTTGACCTGTAGAACATGAATCTCTCAGAGTGACCTTCCTAACCCTCCCCCAACCCTCTTCATCTTCAGTGGCAAAGGTGGATGGTGAGATGCCTCCTTCTCCAGCCTCCTCTCACCACAGCAGCACACAGGCCCCGTCTTTGACCGAGGAGAAGCGCACGCCGCAGGGCAGCCAGAACTCCCTCAACACGGTCAGCTCCGGGTCAGGCTCCACCAGCGGCATTGGCAGCGGAGGCGGGGGCGGCAGCAACAACACGGTGGTCCCCAATGCCATCCAGCCCTACGATGTGGAGATCCAACGTGGAGAGAATGAGGGGTTCGGATTTGTCATTGTGTCATCAGTGTCAAGGCCCGAAGCGGGCACCACTTTCGGTAAGATTGCTGGGATAGTTTTGTGATTGAATGGATTGTTTTTTATTAAATAATTAATTCAAGTAATGTTATTTAATTAATTACATTTAACTGTTGATATTTTTTAGTCTACATTTATATTAAATAAACA